TTTTTTGTTTTCTTTAGGTCACGAGCAGTTGTCCAAGCATTTCACTACATATCGTACTGTGTATGACTGTGTACGTGACAAATAAAATTTGAATTTGATTTTTGAATTTTGAGATAACAAGATTATGGACGAGAATGGCAGTGGCATGAGGAGTGAGGAAAGGGTGGAGGCGATTGATATTATGGAGTTGGAAATATGCTGCACGTGTGACATTATTGATATGTGAATTAAAGGATAATGTGCTATCAAGAATGACACCCAAGCTTTTCACAGAGGGAGAGATAGGGACCAGCGAATTATTGATGGTGAGAAAGAAATTGTTAATTCTGGATAGCAATCGTTTAGTGCCGACCAGGAGAAGTTCTGATTTATTGCTGTTGAGTTTAAGAAAGTTGGAGGAGAACCAGCAATTGAGTTCAGCTAAGCAGAGGATAAGGGAGGGTGGAGGAAGAGTAGAATCGGGTTTGGTAGAGAGGTAAAGCTGGGTGTCATCGGCATAGTAGTGGAACTGAATATTATATTTACGAAAAATATGCCCGAGTGAAAGAAGGTAAATGATGAAAAGAAGGGGCCCGAGGACAGATCCCTGGGGCACCCCAGTAGATAGAGGAGAAGGCTGAGAAGTGAAGGATTTTAATTGAATGAACTGAGTGTGGTCAGACAGGTATGACTTAAACCAGGCTAATGGAGTATGAGAGAGACCAATGGAAGCTAATCTGCTAAGAAGAATGGGATGAGAGATGGTGTCAAAGGCTGCACTCAGATCAAGGAGAATAAGGATGGAGAGGAGACCAGAATCAGCTGCCATAAGAAGGTCGTTTGTTATTTTTATAAGAGCAGTTTCGGTGCTATGCAGAGGACGGAAGCCAGACTGGAACTGTTCGTAAAGGTTATTATCAGTTAGGTGTAGATGGACTTGTGAAGCAACTATTTTTTCAAGAATGTTTGAGAGGAATGGTAGATTGGAGATAGGACAGAAATTATTAAAGTTGTTGGGATCTAGACCTGTTTTTTTCAGGATTGGGGTAATAGCGGCAACTTTGAAGGAAGCAGGAAAAGTTCCAGTGGTGAATGAAGAGTGAATAATAGCAGATATGAGGGGAAGGAGAGGGGGTAGACAGGCTTTGACAAGGACAGTGGGGATAGGATCAAGCTGGCAGGTAGAAGGCTTTGATTTGTGGATGAGATCAGCAATATCAGTTAAAAACGGAAGTTGAAAAACAGAGAGGAAGTGAGAAGGGGGTGGAGTTAAGACAGAGGAGCTACATTGAGCATTAGGGTCCAAGTCTAAGTGTATTTTATGATTTTTTTCAGTGACATAGATTATGAATGTAAAATAATATTTCCTCCCGACAATCTCTACATAGGAGAAACCAAACATGCACTCCATAAACATATGGCACAACATTGAATAGCCAACTCGACAGGAAAGACTCAGATATACATCTCCATCTAAAAGACAAATGTCAGTCTTTTGGTTTTCATTTTGGTTTGAAAATGGAGTGAAAGAACCCATCTATGTCCACTGTGAATGACCATTTTTGAACAGAGGTGGTGGTTACGATACCAACTCTCTGACACCTACAATGCAATTTTAAGATGTAAGATGGCCCCAAATTATAAATTTGAGTAAAAGACCAAGATTATGTAAAATTTCCATTACAAGCAGTTGTAAAGCTGAACCTAAACAATAATGTATTAACATAATAAAATATAAATCCTTTCCTCAATAGTGCCTAAATTTTTGTTTGCTAGGTAACCCTTGATAATCCGCCAAATGCTGTGTTTAATGGTTAATTTTTATTCCTGGAGACAGTGGTATTCCAGAACACTGTTAAGTGGCGTCCTCAGATCAAAAATTGTCCCTAGGTGAATGGCAAACAAGCATATGGGAATCCCAGGGACACCACAGTGTGCATAGTTGGAGTTATATCAGTATGATAGTAAATGCAGCCATACTTGAGTAGTAGATATTTTCAGTGATGACTATGATGTGGATGAAAATAATGAGAAATACTAAATTAATTATTGTGAAAAAAATATGTATTATTATTATTATTATTATTATTGTAAAAATATATGTTAAACAACATATTTTCAAAACAAGTAAATCAAAAACAGATACATTTAATAAATCAAAACTCTGCTCATGGGCACAGCTCCATATCCTAATAGCGTGCAAACAATCTCCTCATTACCTCTAATTCTTGCTGGTCATTTTTAAAAGAAAAATAATCTTGATCTGACCTGATAATTGTCGAGTTTGGAGTGTTGAGCATCTTCAACCCTGAATCCCGAAGGTTGTTGTTACCCAGGTCAAGTTCTCTCAGACTAGATGATTGGGAACTGAGGACTAAGGACAGAGCTTCACAACTTGTCTCTGAGAGGTTACAGCTACTTAGCCTATAAAATTATAAACAGAAAGAAAAATGACATTGGTCTTAAAGTGTATTCATCACTCGTGGAGGAGTTACTACTTTTGGCAATGCAATGTTGTTCCTGTTCTTCCATGAATTTTGACTGTTAGAAATTTAAAGTTTTACTAATAACACAAAGTACATGGATAAAGGCCAGCTTCTTAGATTTTTTTTCTCAATCACTAACAAAAAACTTAAATACAACTTGATCAGACCTTAGTTTCTCTAGTTTACAGTGCTGACTTGTTAGTCCAGCACACAGAAGCTTCACTCCTGAATCCTGTAGGTCATTGTTACTCAGGTCCAGCTCTCTTAGATTAGAGGACTGGGAGCTCATAACTGATGACAGATCTTCACAGCTTGTCTCTGTTAGGCTACAGTCAGTTAGTCTGAAAAATAATGAACAGAACGACAAAATATCATATTTATTAAAGTGTATTTATGGTACTGGGGAGTTATTTTATTTGGGAATATGTAATGTTATCCGGTTTTTGCACGAATTTTGAGTTGAATATTTAATTATATTAGCCACATTAGAAATGTCTAATGTTTACTTATAACACAAAGATACAACAGCAAATTGATACATTTCAGCTTGTTGGTAATTTTTTCTCAATCACTGAAAAAGAAATGTAAACATCACTTAATCAGACCTTAGTTTCTCCAGTTTACAGTGCTGACTTGCTATTCCAGCACACAAAAGCTTCACTCCTGAATCCTGTAGGTCATTGTTACTCATGTCCAGCTCTCTCAGACTAGAGGACTGGGAGCTCACAACTGTTGACAGATCTTCACAGCTTGTCTCTGTTAGGTTACAGCCAGTTAGTCTGAAAGATTTTTAAAACACAGACAAATAACACATTTATTAATGTGCATTCATGGTACAGTGAGGAGTTACTAGATTTGGCAATATGTAATGTTATCCCGTTCTTGTGTGAATTCTGGCTTGAATATTAAACCATGTTAGCCACATTAGAAATGTCAAATTTTTACTAATAACACAAAGATACAACAACACACACATAAAGATCAGCTTCTTAGTAACTTGTATTTTTCTGAATCATTGACAAAAAGTGTAAATATATCTTGAACTAACCTTAGAGTTTCTAGTTTGCAGTGTTGACGTTCTACTCCAGCACACAGAAGTTTCGCTCCTGAATCCTGTAGGTCATTATTACTCAAGTCCAGCTCTCTCAGACTGGAGGACGGAGAGTTCATAACAGATGACAGATGTTCACAGCTTTTCTCTGTCAGGCTACAGTCAGTTAGTCTGAAAAATTATGAACACAAAGACAAATAACCCAGTTATTAAAGTGTATTCATGGTACAGCAAGTAGTAACTAGATTTGGCAATATGTAATGTTTGTGTGTGTGTGTGTGTGTGTGTGTGTGTGTGTGTGTGAGTGTGTGTGTGTGTGTACCTTCATGAATTCTGACCTGATTGTTAAACTAAATTAGCCAAGTAAGAAATTTCACATTTTTACTAAGAACACAACAA